CTTGGGGACCCTTCCAAATTCCATACCAATTACATAGGGTCTGGTATAAATTTAAGCAGAAACCCTGTGCAAAAGAAAAAAAGGCTCAGGTCCCCCCAATAATCTATACCAAATCCTTGTCCAATCATGCAGACTGGCAGGCCAGGAAAGAAAGGTAGTGTACATGAGGCCCCCCTCCTCCTGAACCATACCAGGCCAAATGCCCTCAACATGGGGGGGTTCCTTGCCCAAGTACCTCGCCTTGCAAAGCATCTTGTGATCATGTTGGTGAGGACAAGGGGCCATTTTTTCAGGACCCTAGCCTGTTGGCTGTGGGGGCCTGTGGGAAGGGGTCTTACAGGAATATGGAAGCCTCCTTTACGAACAAGGGGGTCCCTGATATTGTCCCCCCTATGTGAATAAGTAAAATATGAAAAAAAGTCCCATGATGTAAACCTACCATCAGTCATGTCATCCAGCAATGCATATCCATGTCATTTGTGATGAACAATGTCCAACGCAATACACTGTTGCATTACTAGCACTGAATGACTTCTTTTCAGTACCTGATTCTAAAGTAAAAAAAAAGGTTATGGTCTCCCAGATGTGACCAAATATGTACATGTCCAGGAGTCTGGCATGGCATGTATTTTGTGGATCCCAAAGCTGTTTTATGTATTGCTTTTTTATGCATGAAGGTCCCACATTAACATCTACTGTATATATCAGATACTCATCTAGCATAAGGTTTTGCAATAGATGAAGGAAGCTTAAACATGCATTGTAATGTATGTATAGTGCACAGACCCCTGACAGGTCCCTCTGTTTGTCCTAGGTTCTATTCCCTATTGAGTGCACAGCAGCCAGGTACACAGCAGCTTCTCAGTCTCTCCATGCAAACACCAGGCAGAAAGTGTCGTTTTAGGATTTATTGCTTGAAGAACTTGGATAGGGTATAGGGTGAGAATTGGATATACCAAATCTGGTGCAAACAAAGGACACTCTCTGGTAACTAAACTATTCAGGATGAATCTCTTGTAATAAAAGGTCATGAACTTTCAGCTTAGAGGACTCCCTCTTTGGAATCAGCCCTAAGCCAGCAGCTCTGGAACAGTCTCTCTAAAGTCAAACAGCAGCAGTGTCTTTAAGATCTCTCTCAGACCACTACTCACTGTGTCTCTGTGTACATGGATGCCTCCCTTAAGCACCTGCCAGATCCTGTACCGTACCCTCCAGGCCAGATGCTCAGCAGACTCTTTACCAACTGTTCTCAGCAGCTGTAGAGGTAGGCCTCCCAGCTCTCCTTGATTTGGGACCTCGATGATCCTCCTCCAGTCTTCAGCTAGATAGCCCAGGAGGGGAGACAACTCCTCCAGGTGGGTCTCTCTCCACCAGGGAAAAGGACCCTGCTGTTCCAGACCCCATACTATTTGTACACAATTAAACCCCCTGCTGGTCATTCCCTTGACTAGAGATTTGCTGAGGATGTATGAATCAATCAATCAAGGGTCTGCCTCTCCAACCCGCAATATACTAGAAACTAGTAGAAACAGGGGGGAGCAATTGAGCCTACAACCCAGCAGGACCCTGAACATCCAAAAGCAAATTTAAACCTTGCTTCCCTGACTTCACATGAGGCAAACAACTAAATTGACCTAATCCTCCTAGCATCCCAACTAGGAAGGTGCTACATATGTAAATCTAAAATCCCTGTTTTATGCAAACGTTTTCTGGAAATATGTAAGGGTGTATAGCAGTGTGCATTCACTCACAATTTTAGGGTTGACATGTGGTCAGGGGCGGACTGACCATTTGGAAACTCGGGCACTGCCCGAGGGCCCGGGGTCAGTAGGGGGCCCCATGAGATGCCCCTGGTACCTTTTTCATAGGCTTTTTTGAGTTTTGGCAAGGACACAGGGGCCCCATGATCCCCTATTGCCCGGGGGCCCCATGAGTTGTCAGTCCGCCCCTGCATGTGGTCACACCCCTTTAGCACCTCAAGTGTTATGTGTAAGCTATTTGGATTTGAGCACAGACATATCTACTAAATTTTTTCAGATGAAGGGAATCCCAGCCCATTTCTTTTCAAATAGAAGTAAAGATTAAGGAGCAAGGAGCTCTCATTTGCTGGCAATTTTAACCCCTTCATTGTGGGGGTAAAACAAATCTTAGTGCCTGAAAACAGTTTTGCAACCTTGTCATGTGTCAGTAAAAGTGCACATAACATCACAAATACTTACTGCATCCAGGTGAATCATACCTTGTTTTTTTGGACCTTCATTGGTAGTAAATGTTAGTGAATATCTCCTGATTTTTTTATTGTCAAAGGAAAACAAAAATAGTTAAAAAAATATTTTTAAAAATGTAGTTGTATATTTCTTGCTATTACCATAACCCAGGGGTGGGCAACTGTGGCCCTCCAGCTGTTGTGGAAACTACAAGTCCATTGCAAAACTGACAGTTACAAGCATGACTCTGAAAGGCAGAGGCATGATGGGACTTGTAGTTCACCAACAGCTGGAGGGCCACAGTTGCCCACCCCTGCCATAACCTATCACCAAAAAACAACCCAAAATAAATTGTCCTGCTCCTAACATTCACAGCGATAGCACATTATTATTTGTTGTTTGTACCTACTATAGTAGGGCTCAGAAACAATAGTACACATTTTGCTTTTCTATCCTACCTAAAACACACTGACACTGATAGTAAATTTAAAAAAATGCTTTTTTTTAATCCTACCTATTTTTTTTTTTTTCTCTTTTTTATATTTTTTTGCACACACTTTTATTTGTTTACACCCTTCTCCTCTAGCAAGGAGCAAAGATACTGTGGTAGCACCCAGATATGGCAGATATCCCCTTTAAACTGTAACATGTTTAACAGTATCTGCTTGCAAGGTTTTTGACTCATCTTCCCACCTCACTTATTTTCTGTGAGTATTCTGTTGTACCAGCTTGTAGCTGGGACCTTTATCTGCAGCTGCTGTCCAACGTTATTTTGCAGAATTTAGGAAACATGTTGAAAATATAGAAAGTGAAAGAAGAAATGTATGCTTTGTAACGTAATCGTTGTTATATACACTTGTAAGAAGTTTTCTATAACTCACTTAACAGATGAGAGCATAAGCCATCTGTTGAGTCAAAACAGTGCTCTTTTTAATAAATCAGTTGTATTCCTCAAGTCCGTGTCCGGAGTTCGCTGGTTTGCCAAAATTGCTACTACATTTTTGGTGCATTGGCCAGGAAACCAGGTGTAACTACAGAGACAGGTGGCTTTCCACCCTGACTCATGGGGATTGGTCCGGAGCTGGCCCATGGGATCACTGTGTTGCTTCAGGCGTCACCAGATATTTGTTTGGGAAACTGCACTATATCCTAGCCGCATGCTCGAAGGATCGACCTGCTGGAGTCCAGAGAATCCAGACTGGGGAACCAACTACTAAATAGTGAAGCTTCACAAATTGGGAACAGGTGAGATCTTTGCCGTTTGGGTTATAATAGTTGGGTTATAACAGTCAGTCAGTACCTCTCAACGAAATGCAAGAAAAGGGGAGCCCAATCACCTCCCAAGGTGCCCTTGAATTGGATGATTATGCATGCTTGGGCCATACCTCCAGGTAGTCAGTAATTTTGGGTTGGAAAGTCTGGTGTGTATGTAAGTGAATGAGACGTTGCCTAGCAGTGAAGCCAGAGTTGACCCTGTGTAGGTGCAGTTCTTGGTACTTGGGCTGATATCGTTCTGTTCGAGTCACCGATAAGGGGAAGCATTTGTCTTTTAACCCTATTGTGTCGAGGACTCTGGACCCCTTACCAGGTTCGCAAAACCTGCAAACTGAAATCAGTTCTAAAAGGTTAGAAACACTGTGTGAGAAAGGTTGGCCCCATTATGGAAAATGTTAGCCGCCCCAGGGCACGTTTGATTTAGAAACCATTGACCGATTGCAAGAAATATTAGGTGTATAGAACACTAGGGAGATGTATATAGGACAGTATATATAATACACACATATATTGTGTACACGGATCTCTCAGGACACATTACCTGTATATTACATTGATGGAATGTATAGATAATATATGAGTTGTGCAGGAGACGTACAGAGGATAGCAGAAGTATAGCTGATATACACTATGAAATGTATAGATGACAAAGGTAACACTACAGCCTAAAAAAAGTAACAAGTGTATCTTTTCTCAACCTGAGGAAACAGATCTTCCTCCTCTGTATGTACAGGGACATATCATGGGTGAACGAGGGACAGACTCTGAGACCTCTAGTCGTGACACTCTTAGAAATACCAGTAGGATGGGAATTGGGGGCACAGCAACAACTAATGGGCGCACATATCAGGTGTTCACTTCCACCCCGAAGGACTCCAATGCCAGAAATTGGACTCTTGCCCCATCCTTCAAACCCTTCAATCCACCCATGCTAATGCCCCTAAGGGAACAATTAATAGGGGACACAGGACTCTAGTCTACACTCCCTTCACCACAACTGATTTATGGAACTGGAAGATCTATAGCCCTTTTTATAGTGAGAAACCACAGGCTGTGAAAGACTTTCTCCGTATGATAATCCAGACACATAACCCCACCTGGTCTGACTGCCAGCAATTTCTACTGACTCTCTTTAACACAGAGGATAACCCACGCAGCTTTGAAGTATGTTGGAGAGTTGGGAAAAGACAAATTTGACTCCCAGGGCTAGGTGGAAGGAACATTTTCCAAAAACTGATTTCCAGTGGGATCCAAATACAGAGGAGGATATGGAAAACTTGAATTTTATCAGACAGCTATTATAGAGGGGTGTCAGGGATCGCCGCGGCGCTGGTCCCGGCGCAGGCGCAGTGCGCCGCCTTACACAGGGATGTGGGCGCTAGGTCCGGGCCGGCCGCGGCGACGGAACTCGTGCATGCGCACTAGGATCCACGGGTGCGCGCCTGGCACCAATGACAGCGCAGGGCGCGGTATTTAAATCCCCCTGAGCTGTCACTGGTTGCCATTTGGTCTTTTTATGTTCCTGATCCTGTGTATACCTGAATTCTGAATGTTTCTGACCCGGATTGTCCCTGACTGTGCTGTACTCTCCTGCTCTGACCCTTGGCTTGCCTGACCTCTCTCCTGGATGGCCCCTGTTGGATCTGATCTACTGTTGCTGACCTGGCGTGTGACCCGACTATTCTCTCTGCCTGCTGCTTGTACCGCACCGACCCCACGGCTCCCGACTCGGCTTGTTTGACCCTGCATTTGCTCATCCATCCATCCATCCATCCTGTCCGGATCTCCCGACCTCCTCATATCAGGCTCTTACCCTGCTGGAGCCTCTGGCGGACGCCTCTGCCACTGGTGGGTGTACCCAGTAGTCGCGACCTGGTCTTGGTGCGCTCCAAGTCCATCCCCACCATCAGGGGCCCTGGTGAACAAGTGCTCCGAGACTTAGACTCCGCGCTCTGGGGAAACCTGACCAGTGGAGTGCTAGAGGTACCGCCAGACGGTCCCTTACAAGGGGATGAAAACCGCTGGCAAGAAGCCTACAAATCTGAGTAAGACACAGAAGTTGTTCAACAGCCCAATGAAAGTCCAGGACAGTTTTATGAGAGACTATGTGAAGTTTTAGGCTATATACCTTGTTTGTCCCTGAAGCAACTGACAATCAGATGTTATTAAACATAGTTTTTTATTAGTCAGTCTACGAGAGATATTAAGAGGAAAATTGCAAGAGTAAGAAGAATTCGCTGGTATGTTAGAAATAAGTGTTTGTCAATCGAGATTGACAAACAAAAAGAGAGGAAAATCGGAGAATGAAAAAGGAGGTGAATATGTTAGCAGAAGCTCTGATGGAGAGATTCAAAAGGACCAGAGAACGCTTAGACGGAAGGAAGCCAAGAAAGTAGAAAAATGGAGTACCTGGCAAATGATAAGTACATTTGCTCAGGGAAGCGAGGCAATGGCTGCAATAATTAATTCTGGAATTACTGTTTCCGGTGGGGTTGTGTAGCATGGGGAACATGGGAAGAGAAAAGTCATGACGCTAGCCTTCAGTCCTTGACTAACTTATCCAGCTGTTCAATAGGAAAGCTGCAACCCATATAATGGCCATGTGGAAATATCAACCATTAGCTGTTCAAGATCAGCAGGACTGTCCATAGCCCCTTATGATTTGGGTGGTTAGTGGTTAATTGGGTATGCTTTATCTCACTCAACCTTTCGTTACGATAACATTAAAGGGGGGAATGTGGTAGCACCCAAATATGGCAGAATTCCCCTTTAAACTGTAATATTTTTAACAGTATCTGCTTGCAAGGTTTTTGGCTCATCTTCCCCCCTCCCTTATTTTCTGTGAGTATTCTGTTGTACCAGCTTGTAGCTGGGACCTTTATCTGCAGCTGCGGTCAAAGGTTATTCTGCAGAATTTAGGAAGCCTGTTGAAAATATAGAAAGTGAAAGAAGAAATGTATGCTTTGTGACGTAATCATTAGTATATATATTTGTAAGACGTTTTTTCTAAAACTCAGCAGATGAGAGCATAAGCCATCTTTTGAGTCAAAACAGCGAATGTTTTTAATAAATCAGTTGTATTCCTCAAGTCCGTGCCCGGAGTTCTCTGGTTTGCCAAAATTGCTACTACAATACATCTATGTATCTATCCACATTCAAGAGAAGAAAACAACAGAGGGGCAGGCTGTACAGTGACTCATCACTGTGATAGCCAATCAGGGGCTATCACAGAGATCAGGTGAACGGGAACTGGGCCTCCTGGTTCCTGAATATTACTATGACACCTGGAGCTCTTGGCAAGAGCTCAGTCTCTCTTCTGGAAGTGTTCTCTGCGGCTCACTGTCAGAACAAACAGCAGTGCATATACTGTATGTGGCCCAGCAGATAAAAACCCACTACCATGAGACTACATATATGTGTACGTTTGTAGGAGGGGGTTAAACAGCATTTTTTCTTTGTAAACTTCAGTTTTGCTGCAGTAGGTTGTATGCATCCAGCAAATGTGCTGCTTAAAAGGCAGGTTAAGGGCATATTCCAGACATACTATTTATTGTAATTTAGCAATTTTAAAATTGCCCTCAAAGCATTATTAAATCTTTACCCCAGTGCCGTAGTTAATTTTTCTGGGGGAAGGGGGGTTCAGCTCATGGCTGAGATGTGCCTACTGTGAAGATGAACTTCATTGAAGCAGTTGAAAACTACACAGCAATAGGCAATTGTTAAAAATAAAAAACTTTAATCGGCCATATGGAACACAACATATATACTGTACATACAGTGGGGCAAAAAAGTATTTAGTCAGCCACCAATTGTGCAAGTTCTCCCACTTAAAAAGATGAGAGAGGCCTGTAACTGGCATCATAGGTAGACCTCAACTATGAGAGACAAAATGAGAAAAAAAATTCAGACAATCACATTGGCTGATTTGGAAAGAATTTATTTGCAAATTATGGTGGAAAATAAGTATTTGGTCACCTACAAACAAGCAAGATTTCTGACTCTCACAGACCTTTACCTTCTTCTTTAAGAGGCTCCTCTGTCCTGCATTCATTACCTGTATCAATGGCACCTGTTTGAACTTGTTATCAGTATAAAAGACACCTGTCCACAATCTCAAACAGTCACACTCCAAATTCCACTATGGTGAAGACAAAAGAGCTGTCGAAGGACACCAGAAACAAAATTGTAGACCTGCACCAGGTTGGGAAAACTGAATCTGCAATAGGCAAGCAGCTTGGTGTGAACAAATCAACTGTGGGAGCAATAATTAGAAAATGGAAGACATTCAAGACCACTGATTAATCTCCCTCGATCTGGGGCTCCACGCAAGATCTCACCCCGTGGGGTCAAAATGATCACAAAAACGGTGAGCAAAAATCCCAGGACCACACGGGGGGACCTAGTGAATGACCTGCAGAGAGTTGGGACCAATGTAACAAAGGCTACCATCAGTAACACACTACGCCACCAGGGACTCAGATCCTGCAGTGCCAGACGTGTCCCCCTGCTTAAGCCAGTACATGTCCGGGCCCGTCTAAAGTTTGCTAGAGAGCATTTGGTTGATCCAGAAGAGGATTGGTCAGAATGTCATACGGTAAGATGAAACCAAAATAGAACTGTTTGGTAGAAACACAACTCGTCGTGTTTGGAGGAGAGAGAATGCTGAGTTGCATCCAAAGAACACCATACCTACTGTGAAGCATGGGGGTGGCAACATCATGCTTTGGGGCTGTTTCTCCGCAAAGGGACCAGGACGACTGATCCATGTACAGGACAGAATGAATGGGGCCATGTATCATGAGATTTTGAGTGCAAACCTCTTTCCATCAGCAAGGGCATTGAAGATGAAACGTGGCTGGGTCTTCCAACATGACAATGATCCCAAACATACCGCCCGGGCAACAAAGGAGTGGCTTCGTAAGAATCATTTCAAGGTCCTGGAGTGGACTAGCCAGTCTCCAGATCTCAACCCCATAGAAAACCTTTGGAGGGAGTTGAAAGTCCGTGTTGCCCAGCGACAGCCCCAAAACATCACTGCTCTAGAGGAGATCTGCATGGAGGAATGGGCCAACATACCAGCAACAGTGTGTGCCAACCTTGTGAAAACTGACAGGAAACCTCTGACCTCTGTCATTGCCAACAAAGTATATATAACAAAGTATTGAGATGAACTTTTGATATTGACCAAATACTTATTTTCCACCATAATTTGCAAATACATTTTTTCCAAATCAGCCAATGTGATTGTCTGGATTATTTTTCTCATTTTGTCTCTCATAGTTGAGGTCCACCTATGATGCCAATTACAGGCCTCTCTCATTTTTTTAAGTGGGAAAACTTGCACAATTGGTGGCTGACTAAATACTTTTTTGCCCCACTGTATATGGAGTGCAAGTGTAAGGCTGGCCATACACAGATCTTTTTTTTTTCCGATCACCCAGTGGGCTGATTAAAAAAAAAAAAAAACAGATTTCCCTATCCACAAAAGCAAGGTGGATGGAGAAATCCTCCCCACTCTGTTATTGTACTTTAAATCCTTTCATGCATAAACAGGAATTCAGCTGGAAGCAGCCATATTTCGATCTATGTATGTGCAGGGAGATTGTATAGAAGTTGATCTACTGATCGACTACTGTACAACCGCCCTATCAGAATTTCTTTGCTCGATCAGTACCGTAAGCTATAGCTGGAAACACTGATCAGTGTATTCTGATGGTGGGGGAGTCTCTTTGCTGTCAGAATACAATGGCTCAAGAGGGAGGATTCCACTATCCACACACACTTGAATCAGGTCAGTTTTTTGTTTAACCATTGACTTATCATCCCCTTCAGGAAATCGGCATCACCTTCTAACCATGCATAAGGGGGCAGCATATTGTATACTTACAAGTCATATATCCACATGCACGGCTTAAACTGCCCTGTTCCATGTGAGTGCAAATTTTGGGATTTAATAACATTTTAATATTTTAATAGAGTAAAAAATTATTATGCCTTTTTTTAATTCACTTGAGCATTGTTTGCTGGAGTCTACATCAAAGTCTGCAGCTTTCCCCCTATACACCAGAGCCCCCCCTCACATCTGTATCTCCAAAGTCCCACTCTACATTACTGTCCCCAGAGCTCCACCACCTTACATCAGAGTCTACAGAGTCCCACCTTACAGAAGAGTCCCCCCTTAACACCAAAATACAGCAGAGTGCCCCTTACATCAGAGCCTGGCAGAGTGCCTCCTTACATCAGAATCCAGCAGAATGCCCCCTTACATCATAATCTGGCGGATTGCCCCTTACATAAGAATCCAGTGTAGTGCACACTTACATTAGAATCCAGTAGGGTGCCCCCTTACATCTGAATCCAGTGGAGTGCCCCCTTACATAAAAAAACAGCAGAGTGCCCCCTTACATCAGAATCCAGAAGACTGCACCCTTACATCAGATTCCAGCGGAGTGCCTCCTTACATCAGTAACCAACAGAGTGCTCCCTTAAGTCACTATGCAGTAGAGGGCCCCCCTACATCAGAATTCAGTGGACTGCCCCCTTACATTACAATTCAGTGGAGTGTTCCCTTAGATAAGAATCCAGCAGAGTTCCCCCTTACATCACAATCCAGCAGAGTGCCCCCTTACATCACAATCCAGCAGAGTACCCACTTACATCAGAGTTCAGTGGCATGCCCCCTTACATCAGAATCCAGAAGTGTGTCCCCTTACATCACAATCCAGCATCGTGCCCTTTTACATCATAATCTTGTGGCATACCTGTAACAGCGTATACCCAGAGACTGACGCAGTCCTCCATTTTGGTAAGAACCTCCATCTTGGAAAAGGGGTTAACCATCCTGACAAACATATTTCCCCCTCATTCTCCCTTTCCCTCTCTGAGAGGCCAGTATGTGTGTGTGTTAGGAATGTCACAGAAAGGTCA